CCACCTTGCCCTACCTCTTTTCAAGACATCAAAGTAATGGACCCCGAAATTTTGCACCCCAACCCACTTCATCGTGTGTTTCTCCATGGAACGAACCTACCCTTCACCTTTCCTATCGGAGTTGATTTGAAGAAACAAACAAAATGTAATACTGGGATGGACTATCTTATTTCTCACAAAATACATGTCACGGGTGAATGAGAGCTATGGATCGGTGGCGGGCTCAAGTGGGCGGCAAATTTTGTTGTTTTATATACCAAAGATCGCTACGGTGGATGGATGGATGAGCAGAAAGACGAAAGTAACCCCCAAGGGTTTTTTGTTGCGACAATACCGACGCATTGTCGTGTCGCGGTTCTTCGAAGAAGCGGCGTACGAGAAATGAATTTTACGGGTAATGGGAAATGGATCAGCGTGGGCTGGTGTTCTGCTTCTTGCTTTTTGGCTACGAGAAAAAAAAATAGAGGTATCAAAATGACATACGTTTGAAATCAAATAGTGCTGAACTAGGTGTTGTGATAGACGATGGACGGAAGTCGAAAATCTACGTTGTGACAACGGCTCTGCGAATAAAAAAAGACATAGCAATACATCTAACCATCAGACCCCACGCCTCATGTGCGCTACTCGTCTCACCCACACACAAGAATCATCGAATTCTTTCGAATCTTTCCCTGGAACGCCGACGATGGAACCAGCACCTAGACTTCTAGTCCGCGGTTTTCAATCGTGATCGAAAGCTGAAATCATACATGAACGACATCTGACGCAAAGAAATAATCCACTGCTTCGCTTCAGCGAGAACATGACGTACAACTTGTGTGTGTTTAAACGATGTGGAGAAGAGAACAACGTCAAACATATTCCCCTGTCTAAGTGTATAGGATGTAACTTGTGGGAAAATGTATTTCCATGCCACTGCAAACCTCATGACGAGTTCTACGTCTCAGTGCTGTGTCGGAGGACTGATGTGCTGGACTACCCGCAACGAATGAGTGAGCGATCAGTTCGCCTCTGTTGTTATCCAGGACTACTAAACTCAGGCCTAGAAGAACTATACCTATTCGTGTAGCTGTTGTCAAATCGGCAAAGCAACCGTCATCATGAGTGGAATCATGTTTATGTGATGTCGTTGTTCTCATACATAGTCTATGCATTACTGTATCGTATATGCCTCTTTTGAGTGCATTATTCTGCAGCTCATGCCAGTGTACATGCTTCCTCCAAGCCAGGCCACGGGTATGCGATCCTACTCCTCCATCTCCATATCGTCGCCGCCGCTTGACTGGCCGTTTTGCCGCGAGTTCGATTTTGGTACCGAGGCTTCCTTGTCGATCATCTGCCGTGAGACGGAGACGATGTTGTCTTCGATGAGCTGCTGGCCGACGTCTGAGATGTCTGTGAGGTGTTGTTAGTAGGTAATCGGTGCGAGGTGATAAGTCAGACGTACGCTTCTTGGGGTCGACCTTTCCGACGTATCGCGTCTTTAGTTGGTCCTTGGTCAACTCCGTCTCCTCCTTCACTCGCTTCTCGTAGCCGTCTGCCAGTGTAACGAGCTTCTGCAGCCTGTCGGTATTCCGCTCGCCCTCGCCCTTGAAGTCGTCCATGAGCAGCGCCTCTGTCCATACGTGCTTGTGCAGGTTCATGAGCATGTTCTCCTCCAGCGCAGTCTTGCGGTAGTTGATGCCGATGGAGTAGTAGTGGCGGTTGAGGCCGTGGATAAGTGCCTGGATCGATGGCTTGTTGAGATGACCGACGTTGGAGGTTGTCTGGCGCGGCTCGTGGCCCATCATGAGGGCTTGCGGGTTGATGAGGCGGAAGGCATCGATGACGACTTTGCCCTTGACGGACTGGATGGGGTCGACGACGACGGCGACGGCGCGGGGTGTGAGCTGCTCGAACGACTGCTGTGTGTTGATATCGACCGAGGACAGCCAGCAGCCGAAACCAGGATGTGAGTGGTACCAGCCGACGACGGTCTCTTGCCTGTGTTTGTCAGCGACTGATGGGTGTGGTGGGAGCGGTGGCGGCTTTGAGCGCCCAGGCAGCGATTGCGTACCTTCCTGTTTGCCTCAACATGTCCATCATCTTGGTTTGGAAGACGGGGTCTACGGCCTCGACGGACACACCCGTTCCTGACTGCGGCATGGCAAAGACATCCACCACTCGTACTGTGTAGTCGTCCACAAACTCGCCCAGCATCAGGCCCATGACTTCCATGGGTACACCTGCGCGACCGTGCCGCAGCATCTTGAGGAGCGCCAGGGAGGAGATGTAGACGGTTTCGGAGTTATCGATCAGGTTGGTGTCGCCCTGGGGTCCTCCCATACCGCCCATGCCACCTTGGGCGGCGGCGAGCATCCTAGTTAACCGATCCATGGTGGAGTACTGGCGATGATTCTTCGATTACTGCAGGCGGGGTATCTGGCGACGAGGTGAGGGTGTCCGTGTAGTGGGCGAGGTGTTGCTGGGTAAGGCGGCGGCGATGATGAAGCTGTTGATGCTCGGAGCTCTCTCACGTAACTGCGCGACTGCATGCGGCGATTCGGTTGTTCCGGAACCGGCACTAGACCGGGGGGGCCCTGTCGCAGCTCTCATGGTAATGGCGCGCGAGGGTCTTTGTTCAAGCTCCCGCCATCTCTCTGCCACGCCCCTCCACCCTTCCTTGATTGCTGATACTCGAACACCTTGCATGCTGTAGTCGCCGTCGCCCGCAACATCCAGTCCAACTTTATCACATTTATCACGATAATATCATCACACATCCTCCCAGTCGCATAGCTGTGCGCAGCCACCAAAGATATGACCACCGCTATGGAACCCACGACGGGCTCCTCGTCTTTGAGCAATGGCGTCGCCTCGCAGCCAAAGAAGGTCGCATACTTCTACGACTCCGACGTTGGTAACTACGCCTATGTAGCCGGACATCCCATGAAGCCCCACCGCATACGCATGGCGCACAGCTTGATCATGAACTACGGACTGTACACCAAAATGGAGATTTACGTAGGTGGATCCGAGGTCAATTCTCCATGGATATGTGCTAACTCACCGGCAGCGCGCTAAGCCCGCGTCCAAATACGAGATGACGCAGTTCCACACAGACGAATACATCGAGTTCCTTCACAAAGTAACGCCCGATAATATGGAGAGCTTTACACGTGAGCAGAGCAAATACAACGTCGGAGACGATTGTCCAGTCTTTGACGGCCTATTTGAGTTCTGCGGTATCAGCGCTGGCGGCACCATGGAGGGCGCTGCGCGCTTGAACCGAGGAAAATGCGATGTCGCAGTGAACTGGGCGGGAGGACTGCATCACGCGAAGAAGAGCGAAGCCAGTGGTTTCTGTTATGTCAACGACATTGTCTTGGGAATCATCGAGCTACTCCGATACAAGCAGCGCGTGCTGTACATCGACATCGACGTCCACCACGGAGATGGTGTCGAGGAAGCCTTCTACACGACCGATCGCGTCATGACCGTCTCTTTCCACAAGTACGGCGAGTACTTCCCCGGTACCGGTGAATTGCGCGACATCGGTGTCGGCAGCGGCAAGAACTACTCGGTCAACTTTCCTCTTCGCGACGGCATCACCGACGAGACCTATCGCAACATCTTCGAGCCCGTCATCCAGGCGGTTATGACATACTACGGCCCAGAGGCTATTGTTCTACAATGCGGTGGCGACAGTCTTTCCGGAGACAGGCTTGGTTGCTTCAACCTGAGCATGGACGGCCACGCCAATTGCGTCAAGTACGTCAAGAGCTTCGGCGTACCAGTCATCGTGCTGGGAGGAGGTGGTTACACTATGAGGAACGTGGCGCGAACTTGGGCCTACGAGACGGGAGAGCTCGTCTCGACCAAGATGTCCAAACAGCTGCCTTTTAACGACTACTACGAATACTTTGCTCCCGACTACGAACTGGACGTCCGTCCTTCTAACATGGAGAACGCGAACTCTCACGACTACCTGCACAAGATCAAATCAGCCGTCATCGACAATATTCGGAGAACCGGAAAGCCATCAGTTGAAGCCTTCACCAATATTCCGGATGTGCCTGCGGGTCTAACTCGCGCTACGGACTCAGACGCTGAAGATGAAGACGATGATCTCGATGCCGACGAGAACAAGGATGTGCGCATGACACAGCGTCAACGCGACCAGCAAATAGAGCACGACGGCGAACTCTACGACGCGAGCGATGACGAGGATTATAAAAACAGCCTCGGAGTGCGCGAGCAGCCCGGCACCAAGAAGAGGCGACACATCACCGACTTCCCGAACCCCAATGCTGCTCCAGAGGATGACTTGGACCGCATGGAGACGAATGGTGAAAGCGCCGTATCCACACGGCAAGCATCTGCAGTCGCCAATTCGCGCACAACAACCCCCGCCGCTGGCGAGCAAGAAGCCGACGAAGATGGCGACATCGACATGGACGCAGCGCCTGCTGCGACTGCACCTGCCGCTGGCTCCACGCGATCACAATCGCCCGCTGGTGTCGTAACCCCACCCGAATCCCCACCAGCCGCGGCAGCAACAACAACCATGGCACCTACTTCAGCCCCCACGGCAGACGTCGAAATGGAAGAGAACGACAACAAAGAAGAGATCGCCGCAGCCAAAGAAGAGGGCGACGCAGAACGCGACTCCGAAAACGTCAAGGGCGAGGTCCGCACGGAGGTCGCTAAGGACTAAGCACCCAAACGGCGGTTCTTTGCTGCATTTGCGAGGCGTTTGTACTTTCGTCGCACTATTTTCTGGGTCACTTCTTGACGACGGGTAGCGGGGTCGGTGTTTTGGTGTGATGGGAAATAGCTTGCGTGAGTTAGCTCAAGCTAGGGATACCTTTTTGGATTTTACTGAAGTATGTTATTCTGATGCAATGGGTCTGTTGTTCTTTCTATCATTGTGTGTCTTACGTGCTAGAATGAATATGAATACCAAAGCAACGATCGATTTCACGTCCTGGGTCGCTTGTCGAAACTTATTGGACGGCTTAACACCACTCTCCACAAGCCTCAACATCCCACACCGGTCTCTTTCCCACAACTGCACTCGCCTTCTTCCCTTTGTTCCTCTTGACCTCTTCGCACGCACGCACCGTGTCCTCGTCACTTTCCAACAGTCCGGCTACGACACGCTCGGCCATGCCACAGAGCTTAGCAACCAAGCACTTGTAATGCCCCAGCGTACCAGTCGTCTCGATAAGTACGCGCATCCTTGGCTTCCCAGCCGCAGACGGAACAGATGTTCCTGTACCAGACGCCGACGCAGGAAGACAATGTCGAAGCCCGGCGATCTTACTAACAGGACCGCCAGCCTTGCCATCATTCTTCGTCTTCACCGTTGGTGTTACGTCGTCTTCTGTCTCCTCCTCTCCCAACACCTTACCCACTCCATACAACCTCTCCATCTTCATCTTCCGCAATCCTTCCATCCGAGTCTGTACAGAGCTTTTCCTCTTCTTCTCCTCGAAAACTACTAACGCGATCTTCAAGCCTATTTCTATCTCTACTTCCTCCTCCTCTTCATCCTCTTCATCCTCGTCTTCTTCATCCTGTTCCTCCTCTCCCATACCCACACAAGGTACGCATACAGGCACCTCAACAATCGGCACACTTACCCTTAGCGGATTACAGTCCGGGTCGTTGGCGTAGTACCGCACGAGGAAAGCGAGGTGTTTTGAGCATTCGTTGAGGAAGGGCTTGGGGACCGAGGGGTGCGTTAGTTGGAAATTTAGTTCGGAGAAGATGCGTGCGCGGAGGGGGTCGATTGGTGGTGTCATTTTGAGCGTGTGGTAGGGGGTGATGTTGGATTGTATGTACGAAGGATGATTGTTTGTAGTAGTGGTGGCGGCAAGGGGGATGCTGGGTTGAGGCGGTGTTTATAGCGATGTCGAGCGTGGAAGGGGATGACAGTTTGCTGTTTTGAGACATGGGTTGCGGATGTTGTCTTAGAGGTTAGACAAACTGTGTCTTCGTTGTGAGAGACGGGTTGGTGCGGGTATGTTTCAAGCTGCATCGATTGCTGATTTCTCAAAAAGGTCAGACAAATTCACTATCCCCGTCCAGGGCAAATGAGTGAAATGCTAATGTCTTGTTACTAGGAATGGCTTTTATCTATACTCCTCGGGTACGCGGAGACTTTGATGACAATTCCCTACGATCAGAGTACCAGATGCATATCATCCAGGTCAATATCCAATCCTGAACTCAGCTGTGGAATCTGCTTGTAGTTGCTCTCGTCCAGGGTCTTCCGGATAAACTTGAGTGTCTGTCTCCCCGTCAGTACAACAATGCGCAGATCCGCCAAACATGTGTCAAGCACTCACCTCAGCATAAGTCGGAGTCTGATCCTGCTTCATCATCTCCAAGAACGCCCACGTCATAGCTCCCGTCGCCTCACCTTCAATCCGCGCATCCGCACTCGTCTGATCATCCCTACACCCACTAAACATCGTCACCATCTTCTGCTCACTCCCATACTGGCCCGCAAACTCTCCACTTTCGAGCCCCTCCTCCTCCTGCTCCTCTCCAAAATGCTTCAGTCCCTTGAAGAACGTACTCGCACCTGCAAGCAACTCCCTCGCCTCCCCAACTTTGCTGTACGAGAAGCCACCGGAGATGATATCGCGCGCCTCATTAGCAAGCGTAAGCCCAGCTTTCAAGTTATCCATCAAACTGATCTGGCCATCGCTATCAGAGCGGTAAACAAACGGTAGTTCAAGCGCACTACCAGAATGACAGCAGTCCATTATGACAAACAGCGTGCAATCCCGCGCCATATACGTAACGAGATGTTCATGTAAAATGGTACTGGAAATCTGGCCGCGCTGTTCGAAATCCACAGGCACGATCGATGCATCCATTCCCGTCGTCCTGTTTCCGTCTACGTCTGCAATCTGGCCGCCATGGCCCGAGTAGTGAAGGAACAAGGTGCATCCGGGTTCTGAGACGAGCCAGTCCATGGCTGCGAGGAGGTTGTGGCCGGTGGGGTAGTAGGGGGAGTCGTAGGGTACTTCTGGTCGGTCGGTGAGGATGACTCGGTCTTTGTGCGAGTTGGTGTAGCCGCGGTAGGAAAGGAACTCGGCCATGTTGTCTACGTCTGAGTGGCAGCCCTTGAGTTCGTGGCTGCTGCCGACATAGTTGATGCCGATGAGGAGGGACTTCTTGCGGCGGTAGGACATGTTGGAGTTAGATAGAAGAACGGAGTAGGTATGCGATTGTGGTGTTGGAAGAAGGATTCTAGGTGGCTGTGGCTGAGGTTTGTAGCGTGGTTGTCAAGTGTTGGTAGTGGTGGGGTAGTGAATGATGTGGCTGATCACTGCCCAATCAAATCTAGTGGGAAGACGCGTCGCGCCCCGCCCACGTGCATGCGCGATTGTATGCTGCAAACAGCGATACGACATTTACCAAGGTTACGAGGATCTTGGTGGCTGGGTTTGCGACCAGTCTAGGGCATTGCTTCGGTGCAGAAAGTGATGATGACGTCACTTGGTCGTGCGCGCATCTTACAACTGCATGTATCACATATATCACAAAGAGTCACGGCATGCCGCCACTACAGTACTATGAATCGAGATATCAGTCCACCTCCCTCGAAACGACGCAAGGTCGCGACAAACACAGCGGCGTCTCCTGGGCAAACGGCGCCTCCAAGCACGCCCGCATCTCCAACGCCCCTTCCACCTCTCGACTCAAACACATTACGCATCTTCTCTTGGAACATCAATGGCATTGCTCCGTTTCTACAGAAGCCAATCACAGACTTCTTCCAAACTTCCAAGTCCACGACGGCGCTTAGGGACGATGCAAAGAACGCGCGACCAGCAGCCTCTCTAAGAGGTTTCCTACACAGACACCAATGGCCATCCATCCTGTTCCTCCAAGAAGTCAAGATAGCCCACACAGACGAAAAAACCCAAGACGCAGTCAAAAAAGCAGTAAAATCACCCTTACCAGAAGAAGAAGGAACCCCCCATAATAAGCGCCCACTATACCACGTCCACTTCACCCTCCCCACCGACCTCCACAACGCCCGCGGCCCCAAACGCAGCGGCAAAATCTACGGCGTATGCAGCCTAATCCGGCGCGACCTCTACATCCCCTACAAAATCGCCCTCCGCACCGTAGACTGGGACGCCGAAGGCCGCATCTCCGTCGTAGAACTTCGCTCGAAAACCAGCAGCACCGCCAAACTCGCCATCTTCAACATCTACGCCGTCAACGGAACGGAGAACGCGTATCGAGATCCGCAGACGGGTGCGTTTAAAGGAACGAGACATGATCGGAAACGCGCGTTTCATAAGCTATTGGCAAGGGAGTGTAGGGAGTTGGAGGAGCAAGGCTGGGATGTATTACTCGCGGGCGACATGAATGTCGCGCCTGACGAGCGAGACGGGTATCCCAAACTACGCATCTTCCCGCAGGCACATGTTGTCAACCGCGCTGATTTCCACGATAAGCTGTTGGGAGGGGATGGGAAGGCGAAGGAGCCATTTGATGGGGTGGATGTGTGGAGGGAGATGTTTCCGCATGAAAGACGGTATACGTATCATTCGAGGGGTAGGAAATGGGGGAGTAGCTGTGATAGGGTGGATTACTTTATTGCGGGGAGGAAGATGTGGGAGAAGGGGTGGGTTCGGGCGGCTGGGATTATGGATAGTGAGGAGGAGATGGGGACGAGTGATCATGTGCCTGTTTGGGTGGATGTTGAGATGAAGGAGGGGGGTGGACAGCAAGCAATGCCGAAAGGGCAAGAGAAGGATGCCGTAAAAATATCATCTTCCTGAGTTACAGACTTTCTCCAATCTCCACATCGACATCCAGACGTACCCACGACCCCCATCCTCTTACTCCACCTCCCCAGTATCCGCCACAAAAAACGGACTCGTTCCCATCCCATTAAACGCATTAACCTCCCACAACTCCGTCGTCCCACGCAGCACCTCATACCGATTATAATCCCCACACCCACTCTCCGTATTAACACACTCCGTCGTAATCCGACCCGCAATCCTCTCTCCAACCTCCTGCCCCTCGAACCACGCACCGTGCAAGAAACCAAAGTACTCCGCACTCATCGCCTCGCCCGCAAAGTACAACCTGCCCACATTCGCGCGAAGGTTTTGGTGCATTTCGAGTGTCGTTCCAGCGGGCCAGTTGGAGTAGGAACCGTAAGACCAGGGTGTTTGGGACCAGCGCGGGTAGGTAAAGGCGATGGGTTCAGGGACCGTGATGTTGGGAAACATTTTACGGAGAACAGCCATACCCTCCGCTTCCGTCGTCTCGTCGTCCTGCGCTTCCACACGGTACGACTGTTCGTCTACGAGCGTGGCGAAGAGGATGTTGGAACCGGGCAGGAACCCTTCTGTGGATAGACTCTGCCAGACGGTGTAGTAACCACGCGTCGTGGGGTCAGCATAGAGGAAGAATTGCTTGTCGGTTGGCCAGAAGGTTTCGTTGAATTGGAAGAAGAGCTTTGTGTAGGTACCGAAGGAGAAGGTGGCGATGGCGGATTGCTTCCAGTCGGGGAGGGTGGGCGAGAAGGTTATGGCGTCGTTTTGGAGGACGCCGAGGGAGACGGTGGAGATGGCGTAGTCGGCTTCGATGCAGGAGCCGTCTGAGGTGAGGATTTGGACGCCGGTGTCAGAGTAGGTTATGTTTGTTACGATGGTGTTGAGGAGGAGGCGGGGGTCGCCCGGTTTGAGGAATTTGGAGGCTTGGTGCTTGAGCCAGGTATTGAAGCCGCGTTGGTCGGTGCAGACTATAAGGATGTGTATGAGTACTTTGCTTATACTCTTGTATGGAGGTACGTACAGTTGCTGACCTCGGAGAAGCCATAGTAGGTCAAATTGTATCCCGTGATGCCATAGACGAAGCTTGATTCCTCAGGTGTCTGGAAAGCTTGCGTATTAGCACATCTCACAAATGATCATTCCAGGTAGCTTACCTGAGCGGTCTCCCAATCCCAGAGATAATACTCCACAGCCTTGCGCGCCGGATCGCCCTTTGGTCTCCACCCGCTTTGCCAAAGACCCGCACGGAAGCTCCTGTCCTGCAAGTTCTCAGAGAGTAGCGTTCCAGCACTTTGCTCGAAAACACTCCAGTACTCTTCAAACTCATCCAGTAAGTTCGTGAAGTCCACAGCTCCCGTTTCATTGTAGGTCGTGACGGAGAAGGAGTCAGAATTTGGGCTGGAGAGATTGACTTGTTTTGAAAAAGTCCAGACAGGGTTTTCTGGACCGTCTACTGTGTTTTCACCCAGACCAGAGATCCAGTTTGCACCTAGCTCGACGGTATAAGGGTCGCCGTTGGTATCGGAACCAAACTTTGTGTTTCGCATGCGGCCACCGATATGATCCTGGTATTCTAGGATCAGGAAGTCGGTAACTGATTGATTGGCAAGCGCTTGCTGGAATATGTTAGCAGCTGGCTTAGACATAATCGTTGAGCCATGTATTGGATTAGATGAATTTTGCGTTGTTCCACTCATTTTGAAAGAGTCTTAATGTAGACTTACAGCTGCTGTGATGCCCGCAACACCGCCACCGCTATGAATGATTAGTCGATTGTGATCTGTGTTTTTAAAGATCAAACTTACATGATCGCGACAGTAGTCTTCCTACAGGTGCTGTTGTTGGCTCGTCCATGGATTGCCGGCGCAGCGAAGGTCAGTGGTACAAGACCAGTGGTCAACAACAACGTATTCGTCAACCTCATGATGAATACACTGCGAGAGACAGGTGTCAAGAATGTAGGGCTTGCTGTAGTCTGCTGCACACTTGCAGATACTTAAAGCTTGACCTAAGCATAGATGCTTGAATGCATATCTAAAGTATCATCCACTTTAGTTCCGCCTACGTTCCTTCCCCCGCATTAGTCCCACGGCAATGGCCGGGGATGGCGGTAGTAATCGAGGTACAGTAATAGCGGTTAGTCGCATCTTACCTATCACAGATAAGCATGGGTTCATGGGTTTGTGACCCGGTGTTCATGTGTCGCAACGCAGATCTTAGACCTGCCTAATATGGGCATAACCTCATGGGAACCTGGAAGTAGAGTAGCAGTAGAATGACGACTAAGTTCAAACATAGTCAGGATGAATATGCAGCTTGATTGAAAGAGCATGGTGTGGAAGGTAGTAGGAAGGCCGATGTAGACCGGGGTTACTGGCGGGCGCCGAAGATGATAAGAGCGCCGCGTGTACCTGCTCGATGCGCGAGGTGACGTCGCCATAGATGGCATGTGCTCGTCGGCGTGACCGCAGTGCTCTTGCCGTTATTTTCGTTGGAGGTTGTTGTTGAATGCGAGATGATGCTGTCATGGAATTGCGGTGTCGCGTCCATGTTAGCTGGGCGAGGCTGACCCGCAGGAACACCGCGTGAACCCAAGGAAGCTATGACCACAGAGGCCTGCTCCCACACCTCCACGACCATCGCGCGATTTCGACGCGCCCACGGGTATGCGCGCGACAAAGTTGAGTCTAACCGAAAGATATTGAAGAATCTGAACGCATTCCATTACGCGAGCAGTCCAAGACACGGGAAAGGCGCAAGATTTTCGGGACGGCACGATAGCGGGGTTTTTGGTCATGTCATCTTTCGCTCGTCGCCTTTCGCTTCCAATGTCACTCCCATTTCTCGCCGCTTCCATTGACACTCCATTGCTCTCCTGATCTTTGCTTCGTACCTCTACTATCGCGTCATTGTCTCTTCAAACGTACGGCAACACAGCCAGGATGCAGCCGAGTAGCAGAATGCCCGATCAAGGTAACGTCAGATAGCAGAACGCATGAGACCGGTGTTCGCTCGCCAGCATCTTTGCTAGCAGCGATCTGAGATATACGGTCTGAACTTGATCAGGTTAAAGCCTGCGAAAGGACTCATGCTTTGCTCCCTCGCCGCGAGGCTGCTACTAATGGCTTTAGGTCGCCGTCATGGACCCCATCACGAACCCGCCCGATGAAAAGAAGTCGATATTCGCCCCGAACGCGAGAAACGAACCCGGACTACCTGTCAGCGCACACGATACCGAGACTGAAGGAGCGGGACACCAGAGCAGATGGCAGCAGACGTGGAAGGCGTTTGAGAGGCAGCTTGTCGCATACAACCTCGAGGCCCGCGGCATTGAGCGTGTCGAGCCGGAGGAGCGACAGGACTTGCGCTTGCTCGGATACTCTCAGATGGCCATCATGTGGTTCAGCGTCAACCTCGCGGCAAACAACATCACGCTGGGCATGCTCGGCCCCGCTGTCTTCGCACTGGGTTTCCTCGACTCCTGCATGCTGGCCGTGTTCGGCGCATTCGTCGGCTGTCTGGTCGTCGCATACATCGCTACCTTTGGTCCGAAGAGCGGGAATCGGACTATGATCTTCTCGCGATACGTCACAGGCTGGTGGCCGTCCAAAGTAGTCGTCCTGCTCAACATCATCGTTCTGCTTGGGTACGGAATGATCGACTGCGTAGTCGCTGGACAGATTCTCTCGGCTGTTTCGGGCAACTCCATGTCCGTGGTAGTGGGCATAATCATCGTAGCCATCATCGCGTGGGCTATCACAACGTTCGGCTACCAGATCTTCCACTACTACGAGCGATGGGCTTGGCTACCACAACTCATTGTGTTATGCATTCTAGCTGGTGTCGCCGGTCCGCAGTTCAACATCTACTCCGAGTCTCACGGCGACGAAGACTCAGATACCATAATCGGGAATCGCATCAGCTTCTTCGGCTTGACACTCGCTGCGGCTATTACGTACGGCGGAGGAGCAGCAGACTACTTCGTCTACTACCCAGAACACGCATCATCGTTCAAGATCTTCGGCATGACCATGCTCGGTTTGATGTGCAGCTTCACGTTTGCCTTCGTCTTGGGCATTGGCCTGGCATGCGGTATGCTTACCAACACGGACTGGGAAGCGGCATATGGGGTATCCCAAGGCGCCCTGATAGTCGAAGCGTACAAGCCTTTAGGCGCTTTCGGCTCGTTCTGCGGCGTAGTAGTTGCCTTGGGTCTCGTCGCCAACCTCATCGTCCCTACCTACTCTTCCGGTATCGATGCCCAGATTCTAGGGCGCTACGCAAGTGTCGTACCGAGAGTCATCTGGAACACTGTTGGCGTAGTCATCTACACAGTCTGCGCACTAGCAGGGCGTGCCCATCTCGCCGAGATCTTCACCAATTTCCTTGCTCTTATGGGCTACTGGGTCTCAGTGTGGATCGCCATCACCCTCGAGGAACATTTGATCTTCCGTCGTAAGACTGGCTTCAATTGGCAAGTCTGGAACCAGAAGAAGAAGTTGCCGCTGGGCATCGCAGCCTTTACTTCGTT